CCATCCATCCTCCATCATCTCTCTCTTGCTCCAACCTACCTACCTAATCACTCATCCATCCATCCTTCCATCCATCTTCTCTATATCTATCTATCTACCTATCTACCTATCTACCTATCTACCTATCTACCTATCTACCTATCTATCTATCTATCTATCTATCTATCTATCTATCTATCTATCTATCATCTATCTATCTATCTATCTATCTATCTATCTATCTATCTATCTATCTATCTATCTCAGATTTCAATATATTAGCATCCTGAATTGATTTGATGTCCCCTGAATGAAACTGAAGTTAGAAAAAACCATCTTCACAAAATTTCAAACCCTTTGTCAACTTCCTGTGATTCTAGTACTTCTGCAAATAACAGAAAGCATGATAAATGCAATGAAAGCATTTTTTTCCCTCAGGATTCATTTTAAAGCTTCCAACCTGGATATGCCGTTCGTGAAGAAAGTATACAATATTTGATTCCAATGTCCTTATTCCTATGGGGAAAAAAAACACGGAGGGGAAAGAGGCATAAAATTTCATCTACTGCAAAACTCTTTTTTAAAACCTCTCTTGTGTTTGCAAAAATCAGGCTAGGTTTTAGCATGGGGCAAACAATATTCAGTCATCCAGCATCTCAGGATTAGCATCTAGACTGCATTACAGCATCCCTAAAAGACAAATTTTGAGGGTTCTGATTCAAGTTGGTTTGGATTTGTAAATAAATAGAATTCTTTATTCTTTATTGGCCAAGTGTGGTTGGACACACAAGGAATTTGTCTTGGTGCAAATGCTCTCAGTGTACATAAAAGAAAAGATACATTTGTCAAGAGTCAAGAATCATCAGGTACAACACTTAATAAGAGTCATGAGGGACAATAAGCAATCAAATCATGCTAGGAAACAGTCAGTATAAATTGTAAGGATATATGGACTACTTCCTGTAAGGACTGAACGTGATTAAAAAAAATATGGTGTGAAGGAAATTCACCTTGCTTGATATTTTCTCCTAGATGATTTTTTCCCCCTTTCCCTTAGTTGCCATTCTTAATTATTGCAAACCATGTCGCCTCATTAGTTGCAGAAACATGCTTTGAGAATAGTTTTCAGCTTGGGTAGGGGGGAAATCTTCATCATGAGTCTTTGCCAACTCTGTGTCAGGTAACTTTCTGGTTTACACATCGGCTCCAGTTCATTTTGTTTTTTAAATCTCCCACAGAAAACTTTTTCAATATCCTCGTGTTGAATTCTGTGCACGAAGTGATTGTGACGGCGGTGGAAACGTACCCTGAAAATGAGAAACTACAAGCAGCAGGCCTCAGCTGCTTGGCTCTCCTCAGTAAGTAACGAAATGAAAGAAAATTAAATTCCCCAGATGAATGTACCCCCTCAGACCTTTTATTTTTTTTATATATGAACCCGCAAATAAATCTAGACACCCTCTGCTAAAAGGGAAACGTTTAAACTTCCCTCTTTCTGCAACCCACCAAATATTGGTTTGTAACTTTTTCAGTTCCCTCTAGGTGAGGAAATCTTAAAATTGTATTTCCAACCCATCTAGCTGACAGTTTATATTGCCAGTCATTTTTTAAAAAACAAATATCACCGTTATGTACAGATCGTTCTTGACTTACGATCACAATCGAGCTCAACATTTCTGTTGTCAGTGGAGACCTTTTGCTCCGTTCTATGACCTTTCTGGCCACTGTTGTTAAGTGAATCCCTGCAGTTAGGAGCACGGTCCTTAAGCAAATCGGGCTTCCCCGTTGGTTTTGCTTGTCAGAAGGTCACCAAAGGGCATCACGTGACACACACACACACGCACACATGGGACACTGCGACCATCATAAATGTGAATTGGTTGCCAAGTGCCTGAATTTTGATGGAGATCCATTCCAGATGGATATTGAGAGACTAGAATACTGGGCCGTATCTAACAAAATGAAATTCAATGTAGAGAAAAGTAAAGTCCTACACTTAGGCAAGAAAAACCAAAAGTACACATATAGATTGAGTGAAATCAGGCTCAATAGCAGTAACTGTAAGAGGGATCTTGGAGTCTTCGTGGACAACCAGCTAACTAGGAGCCAGCCGTGTGCAGCAGCAGCCAAAAAAGCCAATGCAATCCTAAGTTGTATTAGCAGAGGGATACAATCAAGATCAAGGGAGGTACTAATACCACTCTATAAAGCCTTAGTAAGACCACACCTAGAGTACTGCATCCAGTTTTGGTCACCACACTATAAAAAAAGATGTTGAGATTCTAGAAAAAGTGCAGAGAAGAGCAACCAGGATGATTAGGGGACTGGAGACTAAGGCATACGAAGAATGGTTACAGGAACTGGGCTTAGCTAGTCTAGTGGAGAGAAGGACCGGGGGAGACAGGATAGCAGTCTTCCAATATTTGAGGGGCTGCCACAGAGAGGAAGAGGGGGTCAAGCTATTTTCTAAAGTGCCTGTAGGCCAGACAAGGAATAATGAATCTCCTGAACGTGAGATTCAACCTGGAAATAAGGAGAAACTTTCTGACAGTGAGAACAATCAACCAGCGGAACAGAAGTTGCCCTCGGAAGTTGTGGGAGTACCATCAGTTGAGACTTTCAAGAAGAGATTGGACTGCCATTTGTCAGAAATGGTGTAGGGTCTCCCGCTTGGGCAGGGGGTTGGACTAAATGACCTATAAGGTCATTTCCAACTCTGATTATCTGTTATCTGAAATGCTGCGACGGTTTTTAAGCATGAAAAATCAATTTTTCCCCAATGCCGTTGTAAATTGAATGGTCGCTGAACAAACCATCGTAAGTTGAGGACTACCTGTATTTGTTTAAAGTCAGGATAACGATCCTCACACTGAACTGGAACCTCTCTTAGTACCGTGTTTCTCACAAAATAAGGCCAGGCCTTATTTATTTTTTTTAGCCCCGAAAAAACGGCTAGGATGTCTTTTCGGGGGTGAATTAATTTCTCCCCCACCCCCGCACACCAGCGCCGTCTCCAACAACAGTGTCTGAGTCGCTCCCGCTTTTCCCCCGTCCCCGTAACAACAGGAAAAAAAAGATTTTGAGGTACCTGGGAGCGCTGCGCGCTGTGTTTTGGTTTAATTCCGAGCAGCTGGGTGGGCGTGAAAAGAGCCGAGCGAGCGTCTCTGCTGCTGCTACTCTTGGTGCTCCAGCCTCGGGCTCTGCAAGTTTGCAAAAATCCTGGTGTGCAGCCCATTCCTGCATTCCAAGCGCCCAGGCCGAGCTGCAGTTGTCCCTCTCTCGCCAGCGCTGTCTCCAACAACAGCGGCAGCAGCGGCGGGAACCATGGAAGTTACAGAGGCAGCTCCCTCACCCGAGAAGCGGCTGAAACGTTTCCACAGTTCCCGCCGCTGCTGCCGCTGTTATTGGAGACGGCGCTGGTGAGAGGGACAGCTGCAGCTCGGCCTGGGCACTTGGAATGCAGGAACAGGCTGCGCGCCAGGACTTTTGCAAACTTGGGTTGGAGGCTGGAGCACCAAGGGTGGTAGCAGCAGCAGAGACGCTCGCTCGGCTCTTCTCACGCCCACCCAGCCGCTCGGGATTAAACCAAAACGCAGCATGCGGCGCTCCCAGGTACCTCAAAATCTTTTTTTTTTCCTGTTGTTATGGGGACGGGGGGAAAGTGGGAGCGACTCAGACGCTGTTGTTGGAGACAGCGCTGGCAAGAGAGGCGCCAGCACCAATGGGAACCGTGGAAGCTACGGAGGCCTGAGAAGCGTCTGAAACGCTGCCGGACATCCACGCCAACGCCGCCCGCCTGCTGACCTGGGTAAGGGAGGGGTAAGGGAGCCCTCCGTGCTCCACCATGGTGTTAGGAGCGGCTGATGGTGAGGTGTAGCTGCCCGCGGGGCACTTCTAATGGCAAGTCCCCCCCCCCCACCTTCCCCCCCAATTTCGCATGTTTGAAACTAGGCCTAAATTTGGGGGGAGGGGCTTAATTTCATATTATGCCTAGAAAACATGCTGGGTCTTCCTATTTGGGGGGGGGGGGTATTGTTGGAGAAACACGGTACATAGCCTGGATGTTTCTGAGTTTGTTTTTCATTCTGATTGAAAAATAAAATAAATTTGATGGCTGGAATGCCAGAGCTAAAATTAATAGCGTTGTAACCAAGGCATCAAACTGTAATTTAGTGCTGCAGTTTAATTATGCAACATCCTGTTTGCCCTAAGGGAATGTTTTTTACTTTCAGAAAAATCAATTTAGAATTTTAAGAGTAACTTAAGTCCAACTGTTAAAATGCTTTTTTTTTTTTGGTCTGGTTTTTCTTTTCTTTTCTTTTTTGCTGGCCACGAGTATCTTGGTTCAGAAATAAATCGAGCCATTTGTGAGTGACATTGGTTGTTTCTTTACTTGGCTCATCTTGTTGCTGCGAAAATTAAACAAGATGGTTGGGTTTGCGAAGTTCAATAAACGGATCATTTTTCTCCCAAAGCGGAAACCATCTTTTTAAACAGAGATTTGGAAGAAAAAAAGGAAGAGGAGGGGGAGGAAGAAGAGGAGGAAGAAGAAAAATTATATTGGCTGGAGGCCTGCTATAAAGCATTAAAATATCACAGAAGAAATAGAGACATACAGGTAAAAACGCTAAAAACGTGGGACTAGGGCAGTGGGGGCTAACCTTTTTCGGCTTCCGTGCCAACAGGGGTGGGATTCAAATTTTTTAACAATTGGTTCTTTGGGCGTGGCTTAGTTGGTGGGAGTGGCTTGGTGGTCATGTGACTGGGTGGAAATGGCTTGGTGGTCATGTTATTGGCTGGGCGTGGCCAGCTCAATATCACTCACATCGAGACACGCATCTCCTCGCCTGGCCTCTCGTGACTGTGGGGATGCTGCAACAGTCGTAAGTGTGAAAAATGGTCATAAGTCACTTTTTTCAGTGCCATTGTAACTTTGAATGGTCACTCCACACAAGCAAAGTACCAGCAAAGGAGAGGAAAAAAACTCCAGAGAAGTTCCTGAGACAGGAAGTCTAGTCCTGCCAAGAATGTAGTAAGGGTTAACGAAGAGGCAGTTTCTATAAGCAACACCAGAATGTTTCCTTCCTGCCTTCCTTACAGGATTAGACCAGTAATTTCTTCTAACAACTGGTTCTCTGAACTGCTTAGAATGTTAACAACTGGTTCTAGCGAATAGGTGCGAACTGGTAGAATCCCACCCCTGGTAGCAATAATTGCGTGGCACGCTCGCTTGCGTGCGCTCCTATGCCAGCACCCAGAAGTCAGTGCGTGCTGGCACTCCCCCATGCCCCCTGCGTATGTGCACGCAACCCCCCTCACGTGTCATGCACCTGCGTGCAATCCCCTCGCACGCCGCACACCTCTGCGCATGCATGAGAGACACCCCCCGTGCACTGCATGTCTTTGTGCATGGGTGCGCATTTCCCATGCACCTCCCTACGCCCCCTGCGCACGCACATCAGATACCCAACAATCAGCTGTTGGGCGGCGGCGGCAGCGCATGCGCAGTGGGGCTCTTCCGAGCGACCTCTCGCATACCGGGGGGAAATGGCTCTGCGTGCCACTTCCAGCATGTGTACCATAGGTTCGCCAACACGGGACTAGGGCATCAAATACAAGTTAAATTTTGTGTAGGAAAAGAAGCTGTCGGTGCTAATTTTATTTTATGTCATTCTTAAAATACAAACTTTCCCCCAAAATACCCATTTTAACTAGAAATAGATATCAGTTATTTCCGTGGAGAAGCCTGAAGCAAAAAATTAAAATTATAGTCCTTGACTTACGATCATAATTGAGCCCAAACTGTCCATTGCTTAGCAAGACTTTTGTTAAGTGAGTTTTGTCCCATTTTACCACCGTTGTTAAGTGAATCTGGCTTCCCCATTCATTTTTGCTTGCCAGAAGGTCACAAAATGTGACCATATGACCTTGGGACACAGTAACGGTCATAAGTATAAACCAGTTGCGAATTTTGATCACCTGATCCTAGGGATGCTGCAAAAGGTCGTTAAGTGTGAAAAACGGGTCATAACACCCTTTTTTTGGTGCTGTTATAACTTTGAACAGTCACTAAATGAACTGTTGCAAGTTGAGGACTACCTGTGTTTCTGAGAATCCAGCAGGTTTTTCATTTCTGTACATGATTTAATGTTAAAATGGTCTTGGTTTTATTTTATTTTATTTTTTTGGAAAAATAAAACTTTGTACAGGTTTTGAAGCCTTTTTTATTTTGCATAAGTCACACCGGGGCTTGTGATTAGTAATGCTCTGAAATTAGGAAGTGCTGGCCAAATAAATACTTTTTATTCTGTCCATTTAGGAAGCTGCCTGCTGGGCTTTGAACAACCTCCTTATGTATCAGCCTACTCTTAATGAGAAGATTGGAGACGAAGATAAAAAGTTAGTGGCTTGAGTGCAAACCTTTTGCAATACCTTCGTCAGCTGTAAATAGTTTTATTTTACATTTTTCTTTCCCACGTAGAAGTAGAGAGGTTCACTTTTCTAGGTTCTATAATAGCTCAAAATTTAAAATGGACACCTAACATCAATCAAATGTCATCAGAAAAGCACAACATAGAATGTTCTTGTCCAATCACACTTGGCCAATAAAGAATTCTATTCGCACAATATTGGAAGGGTGAGGAGATCCCTGCAAAAGAAAAGATAATAACAAAAATTTTGGAATGTGCAAAAATGAATAAACCAACATTTGAAATTGAAGAAAAGAAAGACACTGAACATTTTGAGGTATTTTACTAATATTCTGTTCCATCAGTTAAACAAGAGAAATGGAAATTGTAAATTCAAAGATTACAAGAGAAAGATCAATCTCACAATCAGGGTTTATTGTAACTTATTAATTGTGATTAATTTTGATTAGTTTTTCTAATCAAGGGTGACAGTGAATTACGTATTTCAGAGTTGGCTATCTGTCAGGATTCCGGCAGTTACTCCAATTAAATCATGAGTCTTGAGCCACACTACCAAAACTAAAAAAGATTTATTTGAAGGTAACGTTCTACCTCCGGAATTTACCTGGGTGTAGCCAACTCTGAGATATGTAATTCACTGTCACCCTTGATCCTGCTTTTCCCCCCAACCCTTGGGGTGTATCATCCAACGAAACACATCCATAGCCAAGAGTCATCAATCATGCTCTCCAATTAGATTTTTGTGTGGCAGAAGCTTCAGTCATCTAATCAGTCTTTGAAGAAATATGAATGGAATGTACTTTCAATTCCACACTGCTGCCTGCTCTTTGAAACTCCCCCCACTTTCTGTTGTCAACTATAAAACGTGTATACAAAATGTTTTATGAGTTGACTGTATCGATGTTACGAGGGAAAAGCACTGTTATCATGACGTTATCATTAGAGAAGACTATTATCATGATGATGACGAATATTACTCCAAGAAATGTAACCAGGCAACACACTGTATATATGGATTTTGAACAAGTTGCTCTTTCTTTTTATTTATATGTTAATAAAAAATGTATTAATTAAGAATGTTGTTGTCCAATCACACTTGGCCAATAAAAAATTATATTCTATTCACTTAAGACAAGGGTGTTAAACTCAAGGCCCACGGGTGATCTGGCCAGCCGGGTCCTTCAAACTGGCCCGCTGTGGTGCCCTGAAAATGGGGGCCCCAGGCCTCTGCCAGTGAAAACAGAGCTCAGGAGGGCCACGGGCGACCATCCCAAGCTCTGTTTTCACTGGCAGCGGGTTGCAGGAAGCCGTCGCAACCAAAAACAGAGCTTAGGAGCCCATTTTTCGATAGCAGAGCACTTGGTCCACCACAGGCACCCCTGACACGAGTGTTGTCAAATGGCCACGCCCCCTGGCCACGCCCCCATGCCCCCCCCAAGGTCAGACACAACCCTGATGCGGCCCTCAATGAAATTGAGTTTGAGACCCCTGACGTAAGATGAACAATATTACTAAGGGAGGGAAGCATATTCCCTTTGTGTTGTGGATCACATTTTGTGGCGGGACCCTTAAGTATTAATATTGGGAAAAGCACGGAAAACTCACTTTTATACATCAGATCGCCTCTTCAAAGGGAGTCCTCAGCACAGGACCGCAATGGAGCCCTCAAATTTTGTCACTAAGCGAGACAGTTGTTAAAGTGGGTTAAAGTGGGTATTGATCACATGGCCATGGGGCTATTGTAATGGTCGTTAAGTGTAAAAAACAGTCATAATTGATACTTTTCAGCGGCTGCAGGTTGAGGACTACCTGTAGTTCTCGTTTAGTGACCATGTGAACACTGCAAAGGTTGTAACTGTGAAAAACGGTCCTAAGTCACATTTTCCAGCGCCGTTGTCACTGAGTGGACTGTTGTAAAGTCGAGGACTACCTGTGGTAACCTAGCTTTTAAAGTTATTTTTATATTAGTTTTCATTCCTATTCAAATAACTGCATCATGGGTAGTTTCCAGGGACATAAGCCGATTGTTCTCTTCATCTTAGATACCCAGCCCACAGAGAGATGATGCTCGCCATGTTGATGTATTATTCTTCCTCCAAAGAAGTGTTCCAGGCTGCGGCCAATGCCTTAGCTACTCTGGTGAAGCAAAATGGTAAATAAAAATTTAATAATGCCTCTAAGCGGGGAAGGCTCAGAGGTAGTATTCAGCAGGTTCTGACCAGTTCTGGAGAACCAGTAGCGGAAATTTTGAGTAGTTTGGAGAACCGGCAAATACCACCTCTGACTAGAGATTTTACAGTATCCTTCCCCTGCCATGCCTACCAAGGCACGCCCACAGAACTGGTAGTAAAAAAATTAGAATCCCACCACTGGGAAGGATGGCATTGCAAAACCAGTCCTTAATATGTTGAGGCCACTTGGAGGTTTATCTGTGTCCTCAGGGTCGCCTCAACGACTTTCTAAAAGGATGCAAATGACCAGCTGTCTGCAAGGAATATAAATCCTTCCATTCCCCCACCATTCAGTCAGAGCTGAAGAAGTTCAAAGCCTTTATTGTCATTGTACATCATGTATACAATGAAATTGGTTAAGCTTCTCGAATGAGAAGCGAAACGTCTTCAAAAGAAAAAACTAGAGTCCAGTTGCCTCCTGAAAAAGCACTTTTGGGACAACTATGATCTGGAGGACTGAGAATCTCTACAGACCTTTAGTGATACAATTTGGGATGAATGTGGGAGTAGGAATGGATTTCCAAAGAAAAAAATTGCAGACTATAGGAACCATTTGCACTACTCAGGTGACCCTGAGGACAGAGTCAAACCTCCAAGTGGCTTCAATGACCCTCTAAAAGGATGCAAACGACCAGCTGTATGCAAGGAATATAAATCCTTTCGTTCCTCACCATCCTGTCAGAGATGAAGAAGCTTCTTGGAGGAGAAGCAAAATGTCTTCAAAGAAAAACACGAAAGTCCAGTTGCCTCTTGAAAAAAGCACCTTTGGGACATTCTACAAGTTAGGTGCATTGCATTTAGTCTATGTAATTTCTTTCTTTTTGTCTTACTATAGCACATTCTCGAGAAATTCTCTTGGCCAAAGGGATACACATGAACGTGCTGGAGATCATGAGAAAACATTCAGATTCCCCTGAAATTGCAGAAAGTGCTTGCCGATTGCTGAACTGTGCTTTCGAAGGAAGGTAAGGAAACCTGAGCTCTGAACAACTCGATCCCAAATCAACAATCCTCTGGGTTGAACCTTCCCTGGCTTTGTGTTTCTTCAGGGATCGTTTCCACGTCCCTAAAATTAAGACCTCTCTGGCTATGTACTCGGTTTTACGCAGAAGTGGTCTTCAGCAGGTTCTGAACAGTTCTGGAGAACCAGTAGCGGAACTTTTGAGCAGTTCGGAGAACCGGCAAATACCCGCTCTGACGGGAGATTTTATAGTATCCTTCCCCTGCCACGCCCACCAAGCTACGCCCACAGAAGAGGTAGTAAAAAAATTTGAATCCCACCACTGGCCATGCCCACCAAGCCATGCCATGCCCACAGAACCGGTAGTAAAAAAAATTTAATCCCACCATGCCCACCAAGCCATGCCATGCCCACCAAGCCATGCCACGCCCACCAAACCATGCCACGCCCACAGAACCGGTAGTAAAAAAATTTTTAATCCCACCACCCCCACCAAGCCATGCCACGCCCACCAAGCCACGCCCACAGAACAGGTAGTAAAAATTTGAATCCCACCACTGGCCATGCCCATCAAGCCATGCCACGCCCACAAAAGTGGTAGTAAAAGTTTGAAACCCACCACTGGCACACGCGGCCTCCCATGCCCTGTTTTGGCTGCCAGAGGCACTGCGGACCGGTCCTTTGCTATTTCCACACCGGTCCCATGAGCCAGATTTAAGTACCCCATGGGCCAGATCCGGCCCGTGGGCCTTGAGTTTGACACCCTTGTCCTAGATCAAGAGTCTTCAAATTTGGCAAATTAAAGACTTGTGGACTTCAACTCCCAGAATTCCTGAGCTAACATGACTGGAGGAGGAATTCTGGGAGTTGAAGTCCACAAGTCTTAAAAGCTGTCAAGTCCTAGATGCTGAGGTCCCGGAAAGTGTTCAGATAAGCTGTCATGCCTCTGGTGGAGACTGACTCTGAGGGAGAGGAAGAACAGCTGACAGGGAGTGGAAGTGTGATTCTGAAGGTTGTGGAGAAGGCTAGGGAAGGGCAGAGGCCAGCTGGGCAGTCAGAGGAAGAACCAGGCCCATCCTATCTCCATCCTAGGGCATGCAGGGAGGAGAGGATAAAGGAGAGATGTGGTCTACTGGGGAGGAGAGGGCCTTGATCCTCTTCATGGGCTGCAGCTGTGACAACTGGATAAGAGGACGGACATGCATACGGGCAAGTGCTGGAAACAAAGCATGGAAATATCTCTAGTTTATTGTTCCTCTCTGAGTTTGGCATCCTTCCCAGTGTGTGTTCTGATATCTGTGGACGTCTTCCAGCCCTTATCTTGCCTGGTTTGTGTTGTTTTTTACTCTTTATAATTTAAACGGAATTTCCTCCTCCTTGTAACTGCTTGTGTGAGAGTTTTTTGTCTCCATCAAGGATATTTGGAGCTTGGAAGCGAAGTGAAGGAATAAAAGGGGATATACCTGTTTTTTGTGACTGTACTTATTTTTTATCCCACCCTGGGTCATTACAGAAGCACAACAAAGATGCTAAGAGGGACTGGAGGCTAAATCGTAGGACGAACAGTTGAGGGAGCTAGATATGTCTAGTCTAACAAAGAGGAGAATTAGGAGTGAGAGGATAGCTGTCTTCCAACACCTGAGAAGCTATCACAGAGAAGAGAGGGTTGACTTGTTCTTCAAAGCACCTGAGAGATCCCACCTAGAAATAAGGGGAAATTTCCTAACCGTGAGAACAATTAATTGACACGGAGGCCCAATCAATCAGTGTGCCTCCAGATGGTGTGGGTGCTCCATTGCTAGAGGTTTTCAAAAATAGAGTGAACAACGGTTTGACCAGCTTGGAATAAGGTCTCCTGTCCTGAGCAAAGGGGTTGGACTAGAAGACCTCTGAGGCCCTTCCAGCTCATGATTCTATGTTCTAATAAACAAATAGGTTACCAAGTAGTTGGTATTATAGCATTTCCATGATTTATGTTCCAGTTTCTTACAGTTGGATATCATGATCGCTGCTGCATCTGGATGTATGAAAACTATGAAGAAACACAAAAACTTGCCATCGGTACAGTTGGAAGCACTTAAAGTAATTTTACATTGCATGGTTCCAGGTAAAACACCTTAGAAGATAGTAGCGTAAACTAATCCAAACTAGGTACTACAAATAGAGTCTTGTTTATGTCTTCTTTCTTTCTTTCTTTCTTTCTTTCTTTCTTTCTTTCTTTCTTTCTTTCTTTCTTTCTTTCTTTCTTTCTTTTGTTCTTTCTTTCTTTCTATCTCTCTATCTATCTCTATCTATCTATCTATATTTATCTATATCTATATCTATCTATCTATCTATCTATCTATCTATCTATCTATCTATCTATCTATCTATTCTATATCTATCTATCTATCTCTATCTTTCTATCTATTCTATATCTATATATCTATATCTATATCTATATATCTATATCTATATCTATATCCTCTATCTATCTATCTACCTACCTACCTACCTACCTACCTACCTACCTACCTATCTCTATATATTTTGGAAGAGAGGGAAGATGAGAAAACCAGGTACAGATAAATGTGGCAGATTCAGCAGCAAATCTGAACTATCACAAAATAAAAATATTCTAGTACATTATTCAAAATTTATAATATTGTAAGAGGTTTACTGCACACTTTCGATTCAAAGTGAGATCCCATTTCAGCTAAAAATCCTTGGTTCAGCTGCTCAATTCATTAAAGTTTGTGTTGAAATGGTTTCCTTGGAATGACTTTGAACAATTATTTAGAGAATAGAAATCATCTGAATGCGTCAGTAATGGGACATTTACAATGAAGCATGGTTAAGATCAGAGTTCTCGGCTGTTTCTCTCATCAAAAGTTGTTTGCAAATTATCAGGTATACAAATATGTAGGGTGCCCAGCATGGAACAAATTAAACAGAAATCAGCGGTGGTAATTAATTTACAATAATGGTTTCTCTCTCTACCTTGCATTTTTAGCAGGATAGCATCTTAAAATAAGTTTATCCATTCATTCTTTCTGCTTTAGTCTGTACTTACCGTAATTCTTCTCATTACTGAATCACTGGATAGTTTTCTTTTAAAACTTTAGGATTGAAATGTAATGGCTCAATTTGTTTTTGTTTTGTTTTTCCTATACTTATTTCATAAAACTATTTATAAGCACAAAATGATTGCCTGGTCACCTCCTTTGAGATGCCTCCAACACAAAACCTGGGTTAGAAATCTCTTAATAGCACTAAATCATTAGGAATTTTCTCCAAAGAGTTCATTGCATAAGATTTTGGACTATAAAATAATAAGTGTAAGAATATGTATATAATTATTATAAAAATTGAATAAGAATATGGATAATATTGTTTAATATGACAGGAGAATATTTAAAGAAAAATGAAATAAGCTATAATATGAAATGAGATGGTATAAAATAAGAGTAATGAATATAGAAAATGAATACGTATATGGATAATATTGTTAAATAATGTATGAGACTAAAGAAAAAGGTAATAAGTAATAATATGATATAAATTTGGATATAAAAGTTGGTATGTAATTTTGGTCTGGAAATGTATGGAAATGTGAAAACCTGGAACCATATTGTTCACCTAATGAGATGTTTTATAAAAGATAAAAAGTAAAAATAATATTAAAAAAAACAATAAGTTTTGTTCTTTGTGTGTGAGTGTGGGTATGCACGTATTTGATGCATTTCAATTACAATAATCGCTTTTACAAATTGTTTTCGTGTGTTGCAGAAGTGCTAAAAAATCAGCACCATGTTGGTTCAGAAGACACTAACCAGAAAACCATGCTAACACTTTTGAAAAGTCAGTTTTTGTTAGAAGGAGGTCATTTACTTGTCCTTGGTGCTATGAACACGGTACAGTTAATTTTTGTTACATCTGTTTTATTGTAGTCACTTTGTATTTAATAGGTAACTCTTTTCAATATTACAAGCTGGTTATAACAGCTAAATAAGGTCTGAGTTGCATTGTCTTCATAGAAGTAAATCAATCTATGAAATCTTTTAACAACCCCATAATCCCTTGTGGGGTGGAGTCTGGGCAACTGAATGGAGCTGAATGTTTACTGGCTGGATGCCTTTCCTGTTGCCAATGTGGAGTTTTGTTTTCCACTTATAAGTGTGAGAAACAGTCATGGGTTACCTTTTTCAGTACCGTTGCAACTTTGAAAGATCACTAAATGAACTGTCGTTAAGTTGAAGATTGCCAGTATTTGCATCAAGGGTCGATAAATTGAAGATTTATATAATCAAATATAACCATCTGCTTTTGGGTTTTTTTTTCCTTCTAGTTTATTGGAAATCCAGGCATTCAGAGATGTGGACTTCAAATACTTTCCACTATAACAGAACGTCCGACTTTATTACAAATGTTATCCAATCTAGGAATGGCAGATACTCTACTCCACACACTACAGATGTATCCAGATGATCAAGGCAAGCAGAAAAATCATTTATTTTGAAACTGAGAATGTCCGGTCATCAAATCAAAAGCTTCGTCAACCTGGAGAATGTGCAGATGTATGAGCCGAATTCCCAGGATTTTCTGTCATTGTTCTGAGATGCGTATCATGGGTAGACATATTTTAGAAGGTTGATCCAGAACAGGGGTTCCCAACCAGGGGTACAAGATGGTATTCCAAGGGTGTGAAAATTTGGGTTTAGAAGTTTCAAAATTATAGTGTACACTCTGTTTCGGAATATGACCTATCCTGAAAGTAAGGCCTAGCTTGATTTTTACATGTGCGCCCAATATAAGTCCTACTGTGATGACCCAGGGTGGGATACAAAAGCAGCAAAGTCACAAAAACAGGTGAAGTCCCTTTAATTCCTTCAACTTGGCTTCAAAGCTCCAATTATCATTGACTGGAGAGAAAAACTCCCCCACAAACAGTTGCAAAAAGGAAGAAATGCTGTTGAAACTCAAAATACATATAAATTATAAATAAAAAACAACAACACAAACCGCACTGAAGCAATTAATGAGACAAGGCAGGATAAGGGCTTGAAGACGTCCACAGATATCGAAATATTGGGAAGGACACCAGAACTCAGATAAGAACTGAAAGACTAGAATTATTTCACACTTTGCTTCCAGCACTGGGCCATGCGCAGTTTGTCCTTTTAAACAATCCTCACAGCTGCAGCCCATGAAGGGGATCAGGGCCCTTTCCTCTCCCGTAGACCATGCCATTCACATTTCTCCCTTATCCGCTCCTCCCTGCGTGCCTTAGGATGAAGAGGGGATGGGCCTGGGTCTTCCTCTGGATGCCCAGCCAGACTGTGCCCTTCCCCAGTTTCTTCCACAACCTTTGGAGCCACATTTCCACTCCCTGTCGGCTGTTCCTCCTCTCCTTTGGAGTCAGACTTCAACAGGGGCATGACACCTACCCCCCCCCCCCCCTAAGCCCTAATTAAGATCCTGGCAACTTGAGTGCACAGGTAAAAATTAGGGGTGGGTGGGGGGTGGAGCTGCCCTACTACTTACCTTTGGACAGTTGTAGCCAGGCCTTGCATACCCCGACACCTGCCTTGCCAGTCCATTTCTTCTGCAGCTGGCAAGGCTTTCCTGAAAGCCTCTGTAACTGAGAACAAAGCTCTGGATCGATCTGTTATCGGCTGCAGAGGCCTTCAGGAAAAGCCTTGCTGGCCGCAGAAGAAGAAGTTATCAATGGCAGTGATTCACTTAACAATGGGGCAGAACTCACTTAACAAATGTCTCGCTTAACAACAAAAAATTTGGCCTCCATTGTGGTCATAAATTGAGGACTATCTGTACCGCTATTGCTATTGTGTGCTTGATAAGTACTTCCGTTGTAATATTCCCAATTTTCTTTTCTTTCTAGAAATACAACGCTTAGGTTTAAACTTTCTGGGATCCTTGATATCCAGAAAGATCTTATGTTCAGCTACTTTCTATGCCTTGGTATCTCCTTTGGTCTCGACGTTACGACGCTTTAAGGATGTTGTCGAAATTCAGGTTCAGGTAACAAATGAAACACCAATTTGGGCAGGAAGATTCTTGGGGAAATTCAGATGTTTGGTATTTTTTTCCCCACTTTGAGTTGAACCAAGAGCAACCAAGATGATCAGGGGACTGGAAGGTAAAACAGAAAGAACAGATGCTGGAATTGGGTATGTCTAGGCTAATGAAAAGAAGGACTCGGGGAGACATGATAGTGATATTCCAGTATCTGAGGGGCTGCCACAGAGAAGAGGTAGTCAAGCTATTCTCCAAAGCACCACAAGGCAGAAGAAGAAACCATGGGTGGAAACTAATCAAGGAGAGAAGCAACCTAGAACTAAGGAGAAAATTCCTGACAGTGGGAATAATTAACCAGTGGAATTCTTCTTGCCTCCAGAAGTTGTGAATGCTCCAACACAGGAATTTTTGAAGAAGAGATTGGACAACCATCTGTCTAAAGTGGTATAGGGCTTCCTGCCTGACCATGGGGTTGGACTAGAAGACCTCTAACCCTTCCAACTTTGTTATTGTATTGCATTGCATTGCATTGCATTGCATTGCATTGCATTGCATTGCATTGCATTGCATTGCATTGCGTTCTGTTCTGTTCTGTTCTGTTCTACTCTACTCTACTCTACTCTACTCTGCTCTGCTCTGCTCTGCTCTACTATATTTCTATTCTATTCTATTCTATTCTATTCTATTCTATTCTATTCCTATTCCTACTCCTACTCCTACTCCTGTTCTGTTCTATTCCATATGCTATTCCTGTTCCTATTCCTATTCTATTTTATTCTATTCCATATTCTATTCCTATTCCTATTCCTATTCCTATTCCTATTCCTATTCTATTCTATTCTATTCTATTCTATTCTATTCTATTCTATTCTATTCTATTCTATTCTATTCTATTCTATTCCATTCCATTCCATTCCATTCCATTCCATTCCATTCCATATACTATTCTATTCCTATTCTATTCTATTCTGTTCTGTTCTGTTCTATTCCTACTCCTACTCCTGTTCTATTCTATTCTATTCTATTCTATTCTATTCTATTCTATTCTATTCTATTCTATTCTATATACTATTCTATTCCTATTCCTATTCCTACTCCTACTCCTACACCTACTCCTGTTCTGTTCTGTTCTATTCCATATGCTATTCCTGTTCCTATTCCTATTCTATTCTATTCTATTCTATTCTATTCTATTCTATTCTATTCTATTCTATTCTATTCTATTCTATTCTATTCTATTCCTACTCCTACTCCTACTCCTACTCCTATTCTGTTCTGTTCTATTCCATATGCTATTCCTGTTCCTATTCCTATTCTATTCCTATTCTGTTCTGTTCTTTTCTATTCCATATACTATTCTATTCCTATTCCTATTCCTATTCCTATTCTATTTTATTCTATTCTGTTCTGTTCTGTTCTATTTTATTCCATTCTATTCCATTCTATTCTATGCTTCATTCCAATATCTATTCTATTCTATTCCATTATTCTATTCTATTCTACTCTGCTCTGCTCTGCTCTGCTCTTCTCTTCTCTTTTCTCTTCTCTTCTCTTCTCTTCTCTTCTCTTCTCTTCTCTTCTCTTCTCTTCTCTTCTCTTCTCTTCTCTGCTCTGCTCTGCTCTGCTCTGCTCTACTCTACTCTACTCTACTCTACTCTACTCTACTCTACTCTACGCTATTTGAATGCACAGGTAATCCTCAGTGTAAGTCCATGATAGAATCTGCCCATATTGGAACCAGATAAGGAATGTTCAAATCTCAAACTCTCCCTTCCCGATTTATTAACGGTACATTTGAGCTGATGATACTTTTTTTTCCATTGAATTACAGGGATTTCAAATGATTGCAGCCATACTCCAGTCATCCCCTTGGTTTGCAAAGCTGCTCATACAGGAATCGTTCGAGATCTGCCTCTTCTACCAGCTCTCCATGTGTTTTAATGAGCAAAGAGATCAGCAGGTGATTTGTAATTCTGGTGCACAGGTAGTCCTTGAGTTACGACGGTTCAGTTAGTGACCGTTCAAAGTGACGACGTGACTAAAGAAAAAGCAACCTGTGAATGCTTTTCCATCTTGATGACCGTTGCAGCATTCCCCCCCCCCCCCGCCGTCATGTGATCAAAATTCGGATGATTGGCCACCGACTCGTATTTACGATGGTTGCAGTGTCCCGGAAGGGTTACGTGATCCCCTTTTGCGACCTTCTGACGATCAAAGTCAATGAGGGAAGCCCGATTCACTGAACAGCCACGTTACTAATTTAACAACTGAGGGGATTCATTTAACAACCGTGGCAAGGAAGGTTGCAAAATGGGACAAAATTCACTCAATCACTGTCTCACTTAGCCGGAGAAATATAGGACTCAATTATGGTTGTAAGTCAAGGGCTACCCGTGTTCTTCTTGACTCCTTTTGAATGGGTCTCAGCTCTTCAATTCATTTCTTTTAACCCTCCTGGGAAAACAACCTTTAATCTATGTATATATAAAAGCGAAATACCACTCAGGCATCATCACAAAATCTACAGAATCGTAAAGCCTACAAACTTGAAATTTGGCCCGTAGGTTCCTCTTGGCTTCTAAGGGCTCACTAAGAAAGGATTTTTCAAAATGGCCATCACAGCATTTGTATTTCCTATATTATTATTATTAACATGTTCTGATGCTAAGGAGTTCTACTCCCCCCTCCCCACCTGAAAAGAAATCTGTTCCAAAGGCAAAACACAAGCAGAGGAGAGGAGTTTCATTTTCAGTTTCACAGCACCAAGCAGCTTTAGTACAGAACAGTTGAGCTAAGCCATGCCCAGGCTCCTTGCTGTCTTCTTGCTCACACAGCAAATACTGTTTCAGTTTCCAAACAACCCTCAACTCTCACACACACTGACAGGACGCTAGCCAGATGAATACCAATGGATGCTGGTAGGCAGAGACAGATTTTCCCCCCCTTATTTTCCTCCCCAAAAACTAAGCCCGACCACATAGTTTCGTAGCGAAGCACGGGTATCCAGTTAGTTTATGAAATACCTTAACATTAAAGTAAGTGAAACCTCAAGTGAACAGGTACCTAAGTTTCTTTTTTTTATGTTAACATTTTTATTGAGTTATACAGTAATACAAAATACAAAGTAAATAGGAAAGCAGTGGGAAGAAAAGGGGAAGGAGAAGTGAGGAAAGATAAGAAAAAGAAGAAAAAGAAGCGTGTCCTTCTGACTCTCTCTGTTACCAAGAAATAACGCATTAACATCAAATCACAACTTTTTTGCTTTTTCCTAATAATATAAACAAGCCATTTCTATAAAGATCTATCTATCTATCATCATTTAACGACCCCATAATCCCTTGCAGGGGTGAAGTCTGGGCAACTGAATGGAGCTAGCAGAGTGTTTACTGGCCAGATGCCCTTCCTGTCATCAATGCGGAGTTTTGTTCAGCAGATACATTCTAAGTGTGCCCAGAGAGAGAAATATTTGCTGCTACCTAGGATCGAACTCACAGCCTCCTTATTGTGAGGCGAGAGCTCCACCTCTAGGCCATCGCACCACTACGTATAAAGATCTTATCAATCTAATAAAGTGTGCAGCAGCTGCTAAAAAAGCCAACACAGTTCTAAGCTGCATAAGCAGAGGGATAGAATCAAAATCACGTGAAGTGTTAATACCACTTGGTATGACCACATCTGGAATCCTGCATTCAATTTTGGTCGCCACGATGTAAAAAAGATGTGGAGACTCTAGAAAGAGTGCAGAGAAGAGCAACCAAGAGGATTAGGGGACTGGAGGCTAAAACATAATGAAGAATGGTTGCAGGAACTGGGTATGTCTAGTCTGATGAAAAGAAGAACTAGGTATTACAGGATAGCAGTGTTCCAATATCTGAGGGGCTGCCCCAAAGAAGAGGGAGTCAAGCTATTCTCCAAAGCACCTGAAGGCAGGACAAGAAGCAACAGATGGAAACTAACCAAGGAGAGAAGCAACTAAGAACTAAGGAGAAATTTCCTGACAGTGAGAACAATTAACCAGTGGAACAACTTGTCTCCAGAAGTTGTGGATGCTCCAACACTGGAAGTTTTTAAAAAGATGTTGGATAACCATTTGTCTGAAGTGGTGTAGGATTTCCTGCCCAGGCAGGGGGTTGGACTAGAAGACCTGTGACCCTGTTTCCCCCCTCCCCCCTGGGTATGTCATAAATCAGATTCTCCAACTGAGCACATTCACAGGTTGGACGTCATCATTCACATTCTCCAATTCAATATATTTGTGGGCAAAAGCTCTTATTTTAGCTACAATCTTTTAAAGATAAAGAGTTGGAATGTACTTTTGCTTTCAAAGTGCTGCACCGCTCTTCCAGATTTCCTTCCTCCCCCACCTTCCTTTTTTATGGCAACTACTAAAACAGGCCTAGGAATGTTTTATGAGTTGACACTTATATTCTTTTCTTTAATCAAAGTGGTCAACAACACGCACCCAAGTTTCAATCCCCTCTTGTTCCCGTTTCAGTTTCGAAGTCTTTGCTTTAAATGCTTTGCCAAAATAACTGAACACGACGACTTGAAAAACCTGTTGCTGGAGAAGGCCTGTGAGGAGTGCAACAGCTTTATGGCCGAGTGTTTGCTGCTCCTGGGCGCCGACGTGAATACAAGCTCAAAGGAGAAGTCCTTAATTTACGACGTACGTAAGTTAAAACCGTGGGCAGGCAGGCTCAGGTGTAAAACTCCCTGGTTTTAACGCATTGGTGTGAACCCTTTATTGCTCTCCTTAAAATGGCAAGGAAGACTTTAATCCAATGTATTTGGCAAGGTTTGGCAAAACTTCCCAAAAGTGCTTTTTTTTTTCTTTCCAAAAGACAACTGGACTTTCTGGTTTTGCTTTGAAGACATCTTGCTTCTCATGCAAGAAGCTTCTTCAGTTCTGACCGTATGGTGGGGAACGGAAGGATTTATATTCCTTGCAGACCTTTGGTCATTTGCGTCCTTTTTAGAGAGTTGTTGAGGTGACTTGGAGGTTTATCTGTCTCATTACAGATTTTAAAAAAGCATCTTTGGGACAACTATGACCTGGATGACTGAGAATCTCCATAGACTTTTAGCTATGCACTTTGGGGTGAACACCCTTTGAATGGTGCAGGAGTACGAATGAATTTCCAGAAAAATTGCAGACTACAGAAACCATGTGCGCTTCAGTTTGAGATGCAGACAACACAGACTCATCCCCAACAGCCTGTGCATGTCTTCAACAGTGAAGGGATGCAGGGAAGAAAACATCCTTCAGCCAAGAAGGCTCCACACCCATTTTCACCGCTTAGGTGACCCTGAAAACAGAGCTAAACCTCCAAGTGCCTCAACGACCCTCTAAAAAGGATGCAAATGACCAGCTTTGTCTGCAAGGAATATAAATCCTTCCATTCCCCACCATCCGGTCAGAGCTGAAGAAGCTCCTTGGGTATGAGAAGCGAAACGTCTTCAAAAGAAAAACCCAGAAAGCCCAGTTGCCTCCTGAAAAAGCACCTTTGGGACAGTCATAACCTGGAGGGCTGAGAATCTCCATACAGAGTTGCCTGACTTGTTTAAGCCATGATTTATTGAGTGAGCTATTGAGGTTGTCCACATTCACATAAAATATTATTTGTAGAATACAGTGGCTGTGTTTTCACATCCTGCTATACCAGGATAGACTCTGTTGAAAGGAATCTCCAGCACTGATGAAATTAATAATTCTCTTCTTTCTTCTTTCTCCTCCGCCCTTCCCTTCTTCTCTTCCTCTATTTCCCCTTCTCCTCCTGCTTCCGCTTCCCCTCCTCTTTCTCCCTCCTCCTCCTCCCTCCTCCCCTCCTCCTCTTCTCCTTCTCCTCCCCTTCCCCTCCTCCCTTCCCCTTCTCTTCCTCTATTTCCCCTTCTCCTGCTTCTGCTTCCCCTCCTCTTTCTCCCTCCTCCTCCTCCCCTCCTCTTCCTCCTTCCCTTCTTCTCTTCCTCTATTTCCCCTTCTCCTGCTTCTGCTTCCCCTCCTCCTCTTCTCTCCTCCTCCCCTCCTCCTCCTCTCCCTTCTCCTTCTCTTCCTCTATTTCCCCTTCTCCTCCTGCTTCTTCTCCTCCTCCTTCTCCCTCCTCCCCCCTTCTCCTTCCTCCTCCCCCTCCTCCCCTCCTCCTCTTCTCCTTCTCCTTCCTTCCCCTTCTCTTCCTCTATTTCCCCTTCTCCTGCTTCTGCTTCCCCTCCTCCTCCTCTCTCCTCCTCCCCTCCTGCTCTTTCCCCTCCTCCTCCTGCTTCCTCTCCTCCTCCTTCTCCCTCCTTCCCCCTCTTCCCCTTCCCCTTTCCCCCTTCTCCTCCTCTCCCTCCTCCTCCCGTCCCCCTCCCCCCCTCCTCCTCCTAGGTATGTGAGAAAGGAAGCAACCCAAAAGTGGTCGAACTCCTGCTCAACAGTGGCGCCCGGGAACAAGACGTTAGGAGCGCTTTAGCAGTCAGCATGAAGAAAGGGGACAGCAAGATCATCAGTCTGCTCCTGAAGAAACTTTGCCTGGACATGACCAACCGCAGCATTTGCCTGGGAGGGTTCGGTATCGGGCGAATGGAACCTTCTTGGCTGATCCCCTTGTTTCCAAGCAGACTTCCATCCTCCCAGAAGCCAACCAGTATGTCTTGGTAGAAGGGATGTTCATCTTTAACATACGTGGAGTTGTCAGGCTCAAAACGATCGGACCCACCGGTGTAAAGTTCAAACTAGTACTTTAATCTGGTCTGCCTATCATACAGGTAGTTCTCGACTTAACAATGGTTTGTTTAGTGACCGTTCAAAGTTGCAACGGCACGGGAAAAAGTGACAACAATTTTACACACTTACAACCGTTGCAGCATCCCCATTGGTCGCGTGATTGACATTCGGATGCTTGACAACCGATTCACATTTATGATGGGTCGCAGCGTCCCGGAGTCCCTTTTGCGACCTTCCAACAAGCAACGTCAATTGGGAAGCCGGGTTCACTTAACAACCAGATTACTCATTTAACAACTGCAGTGATTCGCTTAACGAATTTGGCAAGAACATTGGGGCAAGGCTCACCAAACCAATTTCTCACTTAACAACATACATTTTGGGCTCATACGTCGAGGGCGTCCTGTATTAAGGCAAAAACTTAATCCCATCGTTTTGTAGCGCTGCTTTATTTTGAGGTGGGCCATCAAAGCTTTCCAGTTGCTCTGAACTTGAAATTGAACTATATTGAACACTGCATGTATGTTCAAATTACTCACGGCTCTGAATGCAGCTGTTGTATGTAGTACCGCAGGGGTGTCAAACTGGGTTTCTTTGAGGGATGAATTAGCACTATAACAGACAACAGATAATCAGAGTTGGAAGGGACAGATAATCGGAAGGAACCTTGTAGTCCCAAGCAGGAGACCCTACACCATTTCTGACAGATGGCAGTCTAATCTCTTCTTGAAAGTCTCAAGTGATGAAGCTCCCACAACTTTTGAGGGCAACTTCTGTTCCATGGGTTGATTGTTCTCACTGTCAGAAAGTTTCTTCTTAGTTCCAGGTTAAATCTCTTCTTGTTCAGTTTCCATCCATTCTTCCTGTCTGGCCTTCAGGTGCTTTGGGAAATAGCTTGACCCTCCCTCCTTTCTGTGGCAGCCCCTCAAATATTGAAAGGCTGCTCTCCTGTCTCCCCTGGTCCTTCTCTTCACTAGACTAGCCAGGCCCAGTTCCTGCAACTGTTCTTCATATGTTTTAGTCTCCAGTCCCCTAATCATCCTGGTTGCTCTTCTTGCCACTTTTTCTAGAATCTCAACTTCTTTTTTTATAGTGTGGTGACCAAAACTGGATGCAGTATTCTAGGTGTGGTCTTACTAAGGCTTTATAGAGTGGTATTAATACTTCCCTTGATCTTGACCGTATCCCTCTGTTAATACAATTTAGGATTGCATTAGCTTTTTTGGCTGCTGCTGCACACTGCTGGCTCCTATTTAGCTGGTTGTCCCCTAAGACTCCAAGATCCCTCTCACAGTGACTGCTATTTAGCCTGGTTTCACCCAGTCTATATGTTTCCTTTTGGTTTTTCTTGCCAAAGTGTAGGACTTTCCTTCTCTCTATGTTGAATTTCATTTTGTTAGTGTTCTAGTCTGTCAAGATCCATCTGGCTCTTGAGCCCATCTTCTTGGGTGTTAGCTAGTCCTCCCAGCTTAGTATTATCTGCAAATTTGGTAAGTTCCCCTTCTATTCCCTCATCTAAGTCGTTAATGAAGATATTGAAGAGTACTGGGCCTAAGATGGAACCTTGTGGCACTGTAGATCTCCTCCATGGGCCGGGGGAGGAGGGGGACGAGACAAGAGGGATGCCTCCTGCAGCACATTGCCGAGCAAAATGGGATGCAGGGAGGGGCATTTGTGTCCCCCCCCCTGCGGCCCATTTTCGGCCTGGACAGTCTCCTGCAGCACTTTGCTGCCAAAAACGGGGCCCGGGAGGCGCCGCGGGCCAGTCCTTTGCTATTTCCAGACCGGCCTCGTCGGCCAGATCTAAGCACTCCACGGGTCAGATCCAGCTTTTTGGGCCTTGAGTTTGACACCCATCTAGTACCAGTATGTAGTCTGTGTCAACTCATAAAATATTTCTAGGGTCTTTAGAGTTGCCAACAGAAAGGGCGGGGGGGAGCAGTGTAGCAGCTTGCAAAACCGAAACTGCATTCCATCATTGTTTTCAAAGATAGTAACTGTAGTAAAGTAGGTGACTGAAGTTTCTGCTGCACAAAATTCTAATTGGAGAGCATGATTGATGACTCTTGGCTATGGAAGTGTCCCATTGGAGAATATGAATTATGATACACCCAGGGGGTGAGGGAAAATCAAGGTCAGGCGTGACAATGAATGATGTGCCTCAGAGTCGGTTACCCCCAGGCAGTGCCGGATATGTTAACTCCCAATAATTCCTTTTGAGGTTTTGGAAGTTTGGCTCGAGACTCATGATTGAAATGGGGGTAACTGCCGGAATCCTGACAATCTGTTCAATATTTGTGAAATAGAATTGCTTTTCTTTCTTGTATGTAAGATTCAAGTTCTGCGTTGGCCGTAATGGTCCTTCGATACCAGAGGACGAGTAGTTACGAAGATCAGTCAAGAGCTGACGTCAATAGCCAGAACGATGAAATGGAGAAATTGAATGAATGGACGTTCTTACCTGACCCTTTAGTGGACAATGTTTTCTCGTTGACTGACGACATAGACAGCGAAGGTACGTGCACTTAATGAAATGAACAGATTTATCTCTCTGTGAATATATCAACACTAGCATATAAAAAGAACACACCCCATTGGGTGTATGAGCATGGAAGTGATGTGTGTACATCACGAGGGTGTGTGGGATTCTAAAGTTTTCTACAGCACATTTTTAAAAAAATGTTATCTCTGCCTCCATTCCTCTAGCTGTAATGTGCAATGTTATAATAACCTAATCTGCTTTAGTCTGCACATCTATGCATAATGGAAAACTCAGAATATATTGTGTTAATTAATTTCACTGCAACTTGGAATTTGTAAGTCAGAAGTGGCGAGTTATTCTGTATTGCATGAGAAGGACTGACTTAAACATCAAGTCGTGAATTTATATTTTCTGCATTTATCCTATGTTGTCTGATGACCTTTAATAAGTATGATGACCCGGGGCGTGGCCCAAAGGCAACACAGTCAGATAATCAATAAGAATCCCTTTATTAGCTCCAACTTTGCCCTCAATGTCCAGGTTACCTTCTGGCTGGAGAAAGACTCTCCCAGGAACAGCCTTTGGCTGCAGAGAATCAAGTCCAAAACATGGTCAACAAAAACTGTAACTATAAGTCCAATCAAGGCAAAATGAGGTTAATTAGTTTGGCAGGGCATGAGCAAGAATTCCAAACGTGAAGGCACGGCAAAACTCACACGGTTGGGAAGACGCAAGGAATACAGATAAGCAAAGACAACACAGGATAAAGTCACGTTTGCTCCCAGAAGCTGCTGCAGTCAGCATTCAGTTCTTATAAACTTTCATTCCCAGCTGTGGCTAATGAAGGGAATCAGGGCCCTTTCCTCCCCCGTAAGCCATGCAACCCACGTTGCTCCCTTCTCCGTTCCTCTCTGCGTGCCCTAGGATAAAGAGGGTGGGCCTGGGTCTTCCTCTGAACTCTCTCTCCCTTGTTCTACCTCTCTCCTGCTCTGCCCAGCCAGACTTTGCCCTTCCCCAGCCTCCACAGCCAACGGAGCCACACTCCTGCTCCCTGTCAGCTGTTCATCTTCCTCCTCGGATTCAGACTCTGACGGACATAACAGGAGGGAAGAAGCCCTAGTAAACTTTTAGAAAGCTACTTTATAGAAAGAGAAGTCAGGAAATGCAGCTGTTGCTCTATGTATTTGTTCCCTTTCACTTTTAACTATATTTCTTGTTTGTTTAACATTAAATAATTTTAATGTGGTTTAACATTAAATAGATGTGCTATTTACTCTAAAAGTCTTCTTTAAAAGTTAAAAACTTTTTTTTAAACCCTGCACATAACTGTAAGATTTAGATATTATTCATGTTCTGATGAGAGTTAATTTTATTTTTTTAATAAATAAATTGATTGAAGCTACTGTACAGATATTCCTCGACTTACAACAGTTCATTTAGTGACTGTCTAAAGTTATGTCATTGAAAAAAAGGGACCGATGACCATTTTTCAAACTTACGACCACTGCAGCATCCCCATGGTCATATGATCCAAATTCAGGTGATTGGCAACTGTTTCATATTGATGACTGTCATCGTGTCTTGAGGTCACATGATCCCCTTTTGCGACCTTCCGATGAGCAACATCAATGGGGAAGCCAGATTTACTTAACAGCCCTGTTACTAATTTATCACCTTGAGGGAATCCACTTAACAACTGTAGGAGGAAAAGTTGTAAAATGGGATAAAGCTCACTTGACCAATGTCTCACTTAGCAATGGAAATTTTGGGTTCAATTGTGATCATAAATTAAGGACTGCCTGTGTAGTCTGCAGTCATATCGTGCTACATTTCTGAGTGGCGTGGTGGCTTAGCGGGGAAGCTAATTGCCTCCTGTTCAGAAGGTTGAGACTTTAATCCTAGGTAGCACAGATAATTTGTCTCTCCCCGGGCGCAAAGAAAAAAAATGCCTACTGCGAACTCCATGTAGGTGTCAGGAAGAGCATCCGGCCAGTAAGCACTCAGCTCCAGTCAGTTGCCCTGACTCTACCCTGAATTACCCGAATGATGAAAGCAGGGGTGGGCTTCAAAAAATATAACAAATAGTTCTCTGCCTGGTTGCTGGGTGGGCATGGCCTTGGTGGGCATGGCCTAGTCCCGTGATGGCGAACCTATGGCACACATACCACAAGTGGCACGCAGAGCCATTTGTGCTGGCATGCGAGCTGCAGGCAAACTTACCTCACTACGCATCTGCGCACCTCACCACTGATTTTTGACCTGTTTGAGACCTTTTTCGGCCTCCCAAAGGCTTGAGGAAGTCTTCTGCAGGCTTCTGCAAGCTTTGTAGGCCAAAACCTAGCTGCGTTTCATCACTTCCAGTATTTTCGGAAAAACAGGAAGTGATGAAACAGGGCTAGTTTTCGGCCTACAAAGCTTGCAGAAGCTTGCAGAACCCTTCCTCAAGCCTTTGGGAGGCCAAAGAAGGCCTCAAACCAGCCGAAAATCAGCTGCGAGGTGCAGTGCAGGTAAGGGGGTGGCGGTGGGTGGGTGGGTGGGGGATTACACGCACATGCGTAGGGGGCATGGGGAAGCGCACATTGCCTTCTGGGTGCTGGCACGCAAGCATGAGCGTGCAAGCGTGCGCGCACAATTTTTGGCACGGGAGCCCAAAAAGGTTAGTCACCACTGGCTAGTTGTCCTCTTGCACCGCTCTGGGAGTGAAAACAGGCCACCGGGGGGAGTGTTTTTGTCCTCCCCGGGCTCTGGAGGCTATCTAGAGGTTGGAAACGGGCCTATTTCCAGCCTTCTGGAACTTCTGGGAGGCCCGTTTTTCACCCTCCCCAAGCCTCTGTGTGTGCCCTGCACTTACCTGTGATCCAAAACAGGCCCCACAGGAACTCCTGGGAGGGGTGGGGCAGGGCAGGGTGGGTGGGGCCAGCCAGGGTTAGGATTTGCTGGTTTGCTGAACTGACCTTAAATTAACAACCAGTTCGCCTGAACCGGTGTGAACCGGTAGCAGCTCACCCCTAGATAAAAGTAATAAAAGGGGAGAGTATCATGCTACATTTCGGACATCTGGATAGTTACTAGTTGCAGTTTGCTGTGTTTGCGTGTATTTGGGTTGTTTTTTTTTTCATTTCCCTGTTTTATACATATATGTGTAATTTACTTTAATCGATTGTTGTTTTCTTTTTGCCTCAGGGAGTGAAAGCTCATTTATGGGGAGGCAGAAATCTTACTCTGTGGCAGCTGCAGACCTCCAGAAACCTCTTCAGAGTTCTACTCCTCCGCTACAAAGACATTCCAAATCTGTGGTGAGACCAATAGTTCCAATGGCTTCCAGTTGTACAAGTAGTCCTCATTTAACGATGGTCATTTCAGCCCCCGTTCAAAGGTACAATGGCTCTATTACCCCAATGACTCCAGGGCACTGCGAGCGTCATAAATATGAACCAGTTGCCAAGCGTCACAATTTTGATCAGGTGTCCACGGCATGGCTGCAACATTTGTAAGTGTGAAAAACGGTCCTAAGTCACTTTTTTCTCGAATGCCATTGTAACTTTGAACGGTCACTAAATGAACTGTTGTAAGTCGAGGACTTACCTATATTTAGCCATCTCTTTCTTTTAACAGTAGTGTCTATTTATATGGACAGGGAAAAATAAATCAATCAGCTAGATTAGCACTCTTTGCGAGCAAGGAATTGGGTCTGGAATATAGCATATCCTTAAAAAAAAGAATAGAATAGAACAGAATAGAATGGAAATGGAGAATTAGAATTGGAATTAGAATTGGAATTGGAATGGAATGGAATGGAATGGAGAATAGAAAAGAAAAGAAAAGAAGGGACCTTGGAGGTCTTCTAGTCCAACCCCCTGCTTAGGCAGGAGACCCTACACCACTTCAGACAAATGGTTGTCCAATCTCTTCTTTAAAATTTCCAGTGTTGGAGCATTTATAACTTCTGGAGGCAAGTTGTTCCAATGTTTAATTGTTATAACTGTTTGAACTAAAATGTGTAAATGTCCAGATTTTTTTATTTTTTGGGCTTTTTTTTCAGGGGGCTGGATCACCTTACGAACCATTAAAGAACCAAAGAAGAAAAAATGTGTTTTCTGAAAAACAGAACAGTAAGTAAAAAGTTATAATAGATTTTAAAGTTTAGACGTACCTTATTGAAGTGTACCTGGTCGAAAATAGCTAAAAGCAAAACGAAGCTCTAATAGCGCAGAATACTGTAATATGAACAAAACTGTTAATAGTGTTACTATTATGGGGTACATACCAGTTGGATGTGGTTTGGTTTGAACATAATGGGGTGTGTGAACTCACGTACAGATAGTCCTGGACTTAAAATAGTTCATTTAGTGACTGGTCAAAATTACAATGGCACTGAAAAAAAATCAGGTATGGCCGTTTTTCACACTTGTGATCCTTACAGTGACCCCTATAGTCATGTGATTTACATTCAGATGCTTAGCAACTGACTCACATTTATGACAGTTGCGATGTCCATGGGTCACGTGATCCCCTTTTGTGACCTTCCAACGAGCAAAGTCAATGCGGAAGCCAGATTCACTTAACAACCAGGTTACTAACTTAACAACGGCAGTGATTCACTAAGCAACAGTGGCAAGAAAGCTCGTAAAATGAGGCAGAATTCATTTAACAGGTTGATTCACTTAACAACAGGAATGTTGGGCTCAATTGTGGTCGTAAGTTGAGGACTACTTGCAGAGATGGGGCTGCACTTATGTTACCAACTGATTTGCTGGTCGTGAGCATACGCGCGCATGCGGTCGCTTTGCTTGCACACGCCCCTTTGGGACTGAAATGGAGTGTCAGGATTCCGGCAGTTACCCCCCATTTAAATCATGAGTCTCAAGCCAAACTTCTAAAACTTCAAAAGGATTATTGGGAGTTAACATGCCGGCACTGCCTGGGTGTAGCCGGCTCTGAGGCACATAACTCATTATCATCTTCCCCCACCCCCTGAGTGTATCGTAATTCATATTCTCCAATGGGACACCTCCATAGCTAAGAGTCACAATCATGCTCTCCAGTTAGAATTTTGCATGGCAGAAACTTCAGTCACCTAGTTACTATCTTTGAAAACATTTATGGAATGCACTTTCAGTTTTGCAAGCTGCTACACTACCCTTTCTGTTGGCAACTCTAAAAAGACCACAGAAATGTTTTATGAATTGACAGCAGGGGTGGGATTCTACCTGGTCGGACCAGTTCTATAGAACTGGTTGTTATAATTCTGCCCAGTTCAGAAAACCGGCAAATTGTGCCACTGGTTGGCTCCTCCCCACCTACTTACACCTTACCTGGTATGCATGCCATCAAACCTGCCTGCTAAGTTACTATTTTTCCTTCCCCCCTGACCATCAGCTGTTCTGCTGTGCCGGGAGATTTAGATTATCTAGAAAGCAGGAAATCGTTGGATTTTTTGCTTTCTAGCTAATCTAAAAGCAGGGTTGAATCTTCCTTAGGACTGAAGCTTCTATTTTTCAGTGCAGACTCAAGTAGCTGATGGCAGAAAGATAGATCTCTGAGTGAATCTTTGATTCTGTGAGCGACTCAATCTGCTTGCTTGCTTTGCCTGATTTTGGGTAAAAGTTGTTCTTTTTTAAATAAAAAAATAAATATTTACAATACTGTAAATATTACAGTATTGTAAATAATGTAAATATTTACAATATTTACATATAAGCCACGCCCAGCTAGTCACGTGACCACCAAGCCACACCCAGTCAGCAAACCATGCTCACCCAATCACATGACCACCAAGCGACACCCACAAATTAGGCCACGCCCACAGAACCAGTTGTTAAGAAATTTGAATCCCACCCCTGGTTGACACAGAGCTTCTAATATGCAGCTAATCTACTCAGGCAGCTCCGGTGACTGCAGCAGGGGCGGTGTGGAACTCAGCTGGGCAATGTGGGTGGATGGGGAACAACGAGAAAGTTAGTTATATACAGGGATGGGATTCTATCGGTTTGGACCGGTTCCGGCGAACCAGCAGTTCCGGTAATCTTTTGGCCCCGTGCATCCGCCCCTGCCTTTGCCTGTGCTTTATTTCCTTTTGTTTTAGCACAGCTGAATCAATGCAACCAATGCAACAGAGATTTCTAATGAAATTGATTTTTTTTTTTAAATTTTAAATTAGAAGGCACATCTGTATTCCAACCCAACATGAAGAGCTCGGACAGCTTCCCTTCCCTGGTCTCTGACCGAGAATATATTAAATCCCTCGACTTGTCCTCAAATGAGCTGGAGAACATAGACAACATCAGCCAAAGTCTTGGCTTAATTACTCATTTCGAAAACCTTGACAAATTAGAACTGCATCACAACCAGCTTTCGTGCGTGCCGAAGCAACTCTGTGAGGTGAGTCTCCCGAGAAGGACGAAGGAATCGGAAAATACTAGATTTTGGTCCTCAAAGAAATTAAGATGCAACCTGGAACAACTTTTCACTAGTCCCATTATCGTAGTTGCCTGATTCGTTACTTTAAGAACATGGTTTATAAGGATGCTGCCATTATGTAGTTAAGGATTATGTTCACATTGGAAGGTTGTTCATCTTCTGGCACGCATGCCATAAGTTTGCCATCACAGCACTCGGTTAAAGTAAAACTGAGTTATGATACAAACCGGGGAACTCATTTATGTTTATTACAGGAGTTCCTTGAGAGAATCGTTATGATTCTTGCATTTTTCCAGATAGAGATTATTTCTTTTAAGTGATCCCTTCAATAAGCTACATTTTGTACAACTTTATCCGTGTATTTACCCTAACATAATTTATTAAATCGGCTTATTGGTCATAATAGCTTTTTTTCTTTTAGACCATGAAATCTTTGACTTATCTCGACCTGCACAGCAACCATTTGAAGTCTTTCCCTCAATATCTCTTGGAAATGCCTCAGATCGTTCACCTCGACATTTCGCGAAATGAAATTGGACCTACCTTGTGCTTCAGTCCAACAATCACCTGTCCAACTCTAAAATTACTCAATTTGTCCTACAACCAACTGTTGGGCATTCCTAGATATCTTGGCAATATTCTGATCAAGCTGGAACATTTCATATTGGAAGGGTGAGAACATAAACAAAGGTTTTTATTATATATTTTACTTATTTATTTTGTCAAATGTATTAGATAAGAGATATAACTATAAACATGATTATTAATACATGAAATCGGTAAGAATAAAAGGAGACATTAGGACAGGGATGGTAGGCACGTTGGTGCGCTTATGCACACCCCTTACAGACCTCTTAGGAATGGCGTGAAGTCAACAGTACACAATCTTAAGGTTAAAGTTTTTGGAGTTTGCGGAAGAAACCACAGTCAGTTAGAGTATTCCAGACATTGACCACTCTGTTGCTGAAGTTGTATTTCCTGCAATCCAATTTGATGCGGTTTACCTTGAGTTTGTATCTATTGTGTGCTCATGTATTGCTGTGGTTGAAGTTAAGTAATCATAGACGGGTAGGACATTGCAATGGATAATTTTATGTACTATGCTTAGGTCGGACCGAAGTCGGCATAGTTCTAAGTTGTCTAGGCCTAAAATTTCAAGTCTGGTGGCATAAGGTATTCTATTGCAAGTAGAGGAGTGGAGGACTCTTCTCGTGAAATATCTCTGGACTCTCTCGATTGTGTTAATGTCCGATATGCAATGTGGATTCCAGACAGATGAGCTGTATTCAAGAATTGGTCTAGCAAATGATTTGTATACTCTAGTTCCATGTTGGCGACCTATGGCATGCCTGCCGGAAGTGGCACACAGAGTCATTTCTGCCACCACGCAAGAGGTAGCCTGGAAGAGCCCCACTGCGCATACACACCCGCCGCCACCCAACAGCTGATTGTTGGGTATCTGGCGTACATGCGCAGGGATGCATGGGAGACGCATGCACAGAGATGTGTGGCGCACAGGAGGGATTGCGTGCATGTGCAGAGAAGCATGGCGTGCAGAGGCCCAGCATGCATTGCCTTCTGGGTGCTGACGTGAGCGCGTGCACAAAGCATGCGCACAATTTTCACCACGGGAGCCAAAAAAGGTTAACCACCACTGCTCTAGTTAGTAGTACAATATTACTGGAGAAAAAGCTACGCATATTTCTAATAATATGGAATTAAGGCCCAACTTTCACAACCTATCCTCAAAAAAGGCTATGATTAACTATGTCTGTGACACTGCCAGGAAAACCACATAGTTTGGTTCATGTCATCATCAGAAGCTGAGGTTGACTTGAATACAGGCACTCCTTGACTTATGACCGCAATGGAGCCCAAAATTTCTGTCATTAAATGAGACATTGGTTAAGCGAGTTTTGCCCCATTTTACATCTTTTCTTGCTACAATTGTGAGGGGAAAAATCACTGCAGTTGTTAAGTCAGGAACACGGTTGTTAAGTGAATCTGGTTTCCCCATGGACTTGGCAGTCAGAAAGTCACAAAACGGGACCAAATCACGTCATCCCGGGACGCTGCAGCCATCATAAATACGAGCCAGTCGCCAAGCGTTTTAATTTTGGTCGTGTGATCCTGGAGATGCTGCTACCTTTGTTAAGTGTGAAAAATGGTCGTAAGTCAACTTTCTTCAGGGCCGTCGTAACTTTGGACGGCCACGAAATGAATTGTTGTAAATTGTGGACTAACTTGTATCGCAGAAAAGACCCGCAGGATGGTATTTATATTTTGGTGGGATTTTACGGGGTGGATTGTCAAGATTCCAGCAATCGCCCTCATTAAATCATGATTCTTGAGCCAAACTTCTAAAAAACTTCAAAGGATTTATTAGAGGCAACATACTGGCACTGCCCTGTATGAAGCCAACTCTGGCATACGTCATTTACAGTCCCCTGTGACCCTGTTTCCCCCCTCCCCCCTGGGTGTCTCATAAACCAGATTCTCCAATTGAACACATTCACCGGCTGAGTGTCACCAATCACATTCTCCAATTAAATATATTCCCGGGCAAAAGCTCTGGTATTTTAGTTACAATCTTTTAAAGAGAAGAGTTGGAATGTACTTCCGCTTTCAAACTGTACTGCTCTTCCAGATTTCTTTCCTTCCCCACCCCTCCTTTTTTTTTTTTATAGCAACTACTAAAACAGGCATAGGAATGTTTTTATGGATTTTTAAATGTCGTAAGCCGCCTGGAGCCACCTAGGCGTGAGTTGGGCCTCCATACAAATTGTTTTCATCCATAAAATAAATGAATTGAACAATCAACAGCTGTTTTGTGTGACCTTTGCCGAAATGCTCTTTTTCGTCTTCTTCCTTTCTCCTAGTAACAGACTTTCAACGTTAATTGCAAGAACCAGTTTGAAAGAACTGAAAAATTTAAACATTAGCAAGAACAACATTTCGTACCTGGATACCGAATTTCTGCATGATTGTTTGAAGTTGGAAATACTCAATGCAGCAGCAAATAGAATTTGTGAGTATGTCGTATTAGAAGGAGCGGTGCTAGGAATGGAAGCGAATAAAGTAAAATTAAAAAACAGGCAGACCTCAGCATGTGGCTTATATCATATTAATAATAACGGGATAACAGAGTTGGAAGGGACCTTGGAGGTCTTCTAGTCCACCCCCCTGCTCAAGTAGGAAACTCCATACCATTTCAGACAAATGGTGGTCCAGGCTCTTGTTAAAAGCCTCTAATGATGGAGCATACACAACTTCTGGAGGCAAGCAGTTCCACTGGTTAATTGTCCCCACTAACAGGAAATTTCTCGTTAGTTCTAGGTTGGTTCTTATCTTGATTAATTTCCATCCATTGCTTCTTGTCCTGCCTTCAGGTGCCTTGGAAAATAGTTTGACCCCCTCTTCTTTGGGGTCAAATACTGGAAAACTGCTATCATGTCACCTCTAGTCCTAGTGGCTTAAGACGCTAAGCTTGTCGATCAGAAAGGTCGTCAGTTCAGCAGTTCGAATCCCTAGCGCTGCATCACGGAGGGAGCTCCCGTTCCTTGTCCCAGCTTCTGCCAAACTAGCAGTTCAAAAGCATGTAAAAAAAAAATGCAAGTGGAAAAATAGGGACCCCTTTGGTGGGAAGGGAACAGCGTTCCATGCACCTTCGAAAGCGTTTAGTCATGCCGGCCACATGACCACGGAGACGTCTTTGGATAGTGCTGGCTCTTCAGCTTTGAAACGGAGATGAGCACCGCCCCCTAGAGCCAGAAATGACTAGCACGTATGTGCGAGGGGAACCTTTCCCTTTCCCTATAGGATATCTGTTTGATAACTGCGTTGTTCAGTTGTCTTATGACAAATTGTTTTTCCAAACCAGTTACTAACACGCTTATTTCTCTGTGTTTTAGACACCATAAAGATCTTGCCTTGTAGCATAACTACATTGAAGCTATCTCAGAATGCTTTTTACACCGTTCCAGAAGCAATTCTTCTTCTACCACAGTAAGTTACTAGGATATGTGGTGATTGCTGATTGTACCCTATGACTATCATTAAGTGTTGCACCTGATGATTCTTGACTTTTGACAAATGTATCTTTTCTTTTATGTACGCTGAGAGCATTTGCACCAGAGACAAATTCCTTGTGTATCCAATCACACTTGGCCAATAAAGAATTCTATTCTATTCTATTCTATTCTATTCTATTCTATTCTATGCTATGCTATGCTATTCTATTCTATTCTATTCTATTCTATTCTATTCTATTCTATTCTATTCTATTCTATTCTATTCTATTCTATTCTATTCTCTATTCTATTCTATTCTATTCTATTCTATTCTACGTACATTAAAATTTGCACCTCCTGTTCTTGTACTGATTTGTGGAGACTTTTGGTAATTGCAAATATCTATTGCAGGGGTCTCCAGTCTTTCTGACTTTAAGAATGGGTGGATGGGGGAGAGAGATTTTAGGTGTATGCGCTTGCCTGCCCGCTACACACCTGCTCGCCTACTGCCTGGGGATTTGGGGAACCCTGATCTATTGCATTCATTGCTTGAGAAAAACACATGCCTGTCACATACTAAAAGAAAGAATGGTTTAGTTCAGAGGTGGCATTCAGGTGGTTCTGACCAGTTCTGGAGAACCGGTAGCGGAAATTTTGATTAGTTCGGAGAACCGGGCAATCCCGCCTCTGACTGGCCCCGCCCCATCTATTCTCTGCCTCACAAGTCCCAGCTGGGTCTTCTTTGGTTGCCCTGCACAGGTGAACGGAGCTGGAAAGCAGGTTAGTGGGGTGAGGAGAGAATGGAGATGTTGCAGTAACCTTCCCCTGCCGTGCCCACCAAGCCACGCCCACCAAGCCACACCACACATACCAAGCCACACCCATAGAACTGGTAGTAAAAAATATTGAATCCCACCACTGGTTTAGTTGTTAGGAAAGGGAAAAAAATGATGAGAGAATTTTAAAAAAGCATGCCTAATTTTTTTTAAAAATGCACAGTGTGTGATTTGTCAACCCGGGAGCCATTTTCCCCCTGGCACCTTCAGGGCTGCCACAGCGGAGATGAGTTGAGATGAGAGGGCGGCGGGGAGGTAAGAGATAGCTGGAGGATTGTAGCCAAAATACAATCCTTTCCTCCGAGAACCAAGGACTTTCCCACCAGGTGCGAGGAGGTGGGATTTGAGACCAACTGACCCTTGGGCTGTGACCTGATTGGACCACATGATGGACTGCATGGGCAGGGGAAGGAAAACTTCACTTTTAACTAGAGGGAAATCTGAGGGGGGTTTAGAGTCAGGTTTCCCCAGATGTGCCAATATGACATTCCTAATCCCATGCTAGTCTATATATATATATAAAAGGGAAATACCCCTCACGCATCATCACAAAATCTCCAGAACCGTAAAGCCTACAAACTTGAAATTTGGCCCATATCTTCCTCTTGGCTTCCAGGGGATCACTAAGAAAGGATTTTTCGAAATGACCCTCAGAGCTATACACTATTATTAATATGTTCTGATGCTAAGGCAGGGGTGGGCAAACTACGGCCCGCGGGCCACATCCGGCCCGTTGGTCTGTCCAATGCGGCCCGCCCCTGAAAAAAAATCGCTGCCATTGGTCTGTCCAATCCGGCCCGCCCCTGAAAAAAATCGCTGGGTGTGGCATATTGCCCTGTGCCGCGTGGCCCCCAAAGCTGCAAAACAGTGCGGAGCGATCTAGGGGTAGGAAAGAAAAGAAATTTGCAAAGGCCTCGGCTGGGAGTTCGAAATCACCTTCGAGTGCGACCTCTCCGAAGGTGAGTCCCCGCTGATCCCCCCCTTTTTTCCGGGGCTTCCAGGCTTAAACTTTGCAAAGGCAAAGCTTGCAGGCTGGAGCGTCTTCCCGCCGAGGAGCGGGAAGGGTTCCACCCGGAGGGCGGGGCGGGCTGCTT